GACTAGCATCAGCCTTCCTGAACACTTAATTCTGTGTCACTACTCTAAGTGCTGTGAACTTCAACGTGTCTTTAAAGGCATTATCACTATTAGGCTTGCTCTCTTAACTTTTAGACCTCTTTTTCTATATTTAATGACTACCACATGTTTCAGAGGGAATAAGAGATGTGTATTAAACCGCAATTTAAGAAAATAATACTACTTTAGTTGCATTTATTTTTTTATAAGCTTTCTTTGGACTAAGATGTTACTGACTAAAGGCAGGAACTTAGAAGAAAAGGAAGTGGTCTAAACTAGAAGGCAGCTAGGTGGGATTTCAGGGTGGAGAGGACACCACCATCATTCTTGAGATTTTTCTGTGTTACTTGATAAGTAGAGCTAACACCTTTTTATTCTGAAAGCGTTACTGTGAATATATTCTTTAAACAAATAGTGTGATGTAAACAAATGCAGACTTCAGTTTAAAATAAAACTTGCCAACCAGAAAGTAAATTACTGTTCCATCCTCAAAATCTTTAAATATTTAATGGTAGGATAGAATAAGGTATATAAGTATGGTGATAAAATTGTCTATATTCTGTATGGGTATATTTTAACTTCATGTGCAAAACAAGTATCATAACTCAGTCGTGCTGCTTATACAGATTACACTGAACATTCCCTTTACTGTCCAGACTCTTTAGTTGTCCATGAGTCCCTCGCGGAAAAAAGGGAATATTTGTGAAGCTGTTAGTGGAACTGTCAGTTTCTTTTCAAATAAAGTTTTCTTTCATAGTTTGACAAAAAGACTTTGGTTTTTGATGAGATAATTTTTAGTGACATAAGATTTTGTCATTTCAGGGACACTTCAATCATATCCTGGGCTTCTAGAAGTTGAGAGACGGCGGATTGGCAACGCTGCTTTTCTTTTTGAATTCTAAAGATGCACCTGTGAACCCTGTACAGCTGGATATCTGTACCTTCGCTCACGGCCTGGATTTCTGCGTGGTATTCAGCATATAGCAGTTCGCTGTATGTGTTACTCTGTCAGTGCGCAATTACGGATATCATTGTCTTTACACTTGGAAAAATGCTTCTGCTTTTAAGGTAGCTCAGTCTATGTTAAAAAAAAAAAAAAAAGTTGATTTAAGGTTTTAGAGTAGTTAAGTTGATCTGGCCTTTGGCCCAGTCTTCACCTGGGACTGGGCCAAAGGTCATGTTGATACAAGAGATTTTCCTGTCTCTCTTGTTCACTTTCTCTGATACTGTTGGAAAGCAGTCCTTGCATTTACATGGGTACAGAGCCTGCACTTTTAGCCCAGCCTGTATATGCAGACAGAAATGAGAGGCCAGAAATGTCTCTATTTTTAGATGGCTATTGAGCTGTGAAGGCCGGTAAAAATCCTATTGAAACTTATGTTTAAATCCAAAATATGCATCCAATTTGGGTATCTTATATGCTGAACTTCTAGTTTGTTTATAACAAGCAGAGTTTGTGAATGTGGCAGGTAACTATCTAATAGAAAAAGGAGTATTATTTGAACAACCCTCCGCAAAGCAAAAGTGAATAGCAATTCAGCTCTGTGGAGTCCTCACAAAGGTGTTAAGATATCCTGACTCTGTCTTTCCAGTTATTGTGATATTAGAACAAACTTGTTTAAAAAGTCTTGAACTTGTCATCCAACATAATTTTGCTGGCTTGTCACGTAAGTGCATCTACCTTTTGCCAGTGTATAGGACTACATCATTTTTAAACACGTCCAGATTTTTAGACTCTGAGATAGCAGAGTTGTGCTGTTTGGGTGTGATGCTTCAGTGGATCCTCTGCTTTAGAAAGAAGGGTCCTGAAAGCTCAGAATGGAATGGCAGCGTGTTAGCCCTCTGCACTGGAGGGAAATTGCTCTGACCTGCCAAAGTTCGCAGGGGAAACAATCTTCACTGTCTGGAGAACTGCTGAGCTATAGCTGTGCCCTGCTGCCACTCAGCTTTTGGGCAGAGTTCAACCCAAAACAGATCCGGCAGGCATGACAGGGTTTGGCCTCTCCTGTTCTGAGAGCAGCCAGGAGCCAGTTTAAATTAAAATGGTAGCTCCAGAGTTGCAAAAACGTAGCGACAGGCTTTTAAAGGTTGGTTTCCCAGTGGGGTTTATAAGGCTGCAAAATTCTTAGACAAAGGTTTTTCAGAGTCCTAGAATGCTTCCCACATTGCGCGTGGAGTTGTAGCTAGCACTGAGTTGACCATTATTAAGGAGATATTCCTCCTAAATATACGAATATCATATAAATACTGAATTCGATTAAGTAATAGATGAGGAAATAAGTCTATAAAGCAGACCTGCACTAAATTGGCATACATACGGTTTGGTTAGAAAGAATAAGTTCCCTCCGAGACAATATAAATTTTAGTTACATTGAAAATAAATATTTACAAAGTGTGAAAATTTTCAGACTCTTCAAAATTTTCTTCAATCACAAGAACAGTACAATCTGTTAAAAGATCAAAACTCCAAGAAACCCAGTGGTTTTAGGAACTGCATTGTCCCTGCTGCCTTGAAGATCCAAAACTCATCTTGGATCCTCCCCCTCCCCATGCAGGTTGATGCAAGGCATAGTTCCTATCCAAGCTAGAAGGGAACGTATCCTTTCTTGAAACAATAGTATGATGAGTAAATTCCCATATGCTGATATCAGAGTTTATCAGCTCATGCAAAATAATAATACAAAATGTTTCCTAAAGACTGAAGTTACATATTTTTTACCAAGATAACTAGATCATATTTTGTGGGCAATTAATTTTTACATTTTTCAGCCCTTGTTTTTTAAAAATCCTGGTAATAATAGCAACCAAAAAAGATGGCTGTGGAAGTCGAAATAGCTGTTTGAAGGTAAAAGGCTAAAAGGTATTTGAAAGTTCTGTTACTGAAAAATTACTCAAAACCTGTTATACTTCATCAAGTGAAATGTATGACAAGTAACGATTAGTAGAACAGTGTATGGTCAAAATTTAGGGTATCCAAAGAAGACGATATCAAAAGTAGACTTGGACTCCACCACGGAACAGTTTTCTGCTAGAATATAGAGCAAAGAAGTACACCATCGTGTTTAAAACACAGGGGATACATCTATGGATTATCAAACCAAAAAGGCTGTTTTTCATTGAAGTAACTCAAATTTTATCATGTTAAGAATTCACAGCTACCAGCACACACATTTCTTCTGCTTGCTTTAAACGTAACTGCACCTTAATCTGACACAAAACATGGTAAAAACAAGAACCAACAGGTTTTCCTTACGGTCCTGGTAGGTCTTGTGCCATGTTCTTTTTAATTCTTCTCCTTTTAGAGTACCCATTACTTGGTTTTCGTAAATTCTTACTGTGCATAAATCACAGGACTGGCCATAGTTCGTGGCTGCATTACAGAGGCTGATGAAGTCACACTACTGTTCGATTTTAATGTAATTTTTTTGTACCAGTCTTCCCATTGTTACTGTACAGGTATTTTTTTATTACGCTATCCACCCTGACTCTCAAGACTGTCCTTGGAGATTACCGCATCTGTACAGCTGAACAAAATAGGAGAACTTTATCCTATTTTTCTTACTCAGTGACCTGCAGTGTGAACGTGGGCCTGTTGTACTTCCTTTACGCTGTTCAAAATGTAGTGCTGCAGTTTACATCAGTCTAACTGATCAGTAGTTATGTTACTCAGGTGAACTTTTTGAACATCTAAATTCTATGCTATAGGAAGTAAACTTGAGTAAAATGGTAGGGAATTTTTTAACTATAGCCTTCTGCATTCACAAGATAGGATGTAAGTCAGATCAACTCTATAATGATATGTAAATAACTCCCCCTGCTCTGTTCCACTACCAATTTCATCTGCTTTGAGAATGAACTCCAAAAAGGGCTGTAGAAGTAGATTAGCTAGTGGAAAGTTTAACTCTCCTCATTTTCAGCCTACCCCAATTACTGCTGTCACGTAGTTCTACGGAGTCTTGTCAGTAAAATACATTAGTATAGGAAAGGACTGAAAAGCGCTCGGCAGTTTCCATCCCTGCTGCACCGTAGCACAATTGGGAATGAAAGAGTACTAAAACCCAGGTTTTTGATACAGAACTGTGATGCCTTTCTTCCTTACCAAAGATTTCTGTGAAAACTCATCTGTATCTTTCTATTCCTTCAGAGTCGATCAAGCATTTTAGTTTTTGCATCCCCAACATTTCAGGTTCTGGGATAATCATCCCTAGTTATTTAACTGCAAAAGCACCAGACTGGGTCGACGGGGAACACCTCGTTCGATATCCTGTACGCTCCAGTGACTAGTAGCAGGCAGACGCGTGGGAAGAGTCCACGAAACGAGGCACGTATTGAAGGGAAAGACATTTCACAAACACCAAACCGGTATTTTGTATCAGGTTTTGTTGCGGGCATCCTTTCCTGCCTCATAGCTAAGCCTTGAACATCAAATACCACGAAAATTACAAAAACGTCGATAGTTTCCAACAGTATTTTTTTCTTTGCTATTGTTTGTTGATGTAAAAAATGTATTGGCTATCAGGAGAATGTGAAACTTGCCTTTGCTCTTTTTATTGAGCATTGGTATCTTCAATATTTAAGAAGTAGTTCCTGTATAACTTGAATTCAAGCGCGTGTGTATGCACACACTTCATTTGCACAGCGTAAGGATACTCTCCCTAGTATTTGTCAAAAATAGCAGCTCCCTCCTTTCTGTTTTTCTTGAGTTGGCTTATAATACTAATATTTAAAAAAAAAAAAAAGAAGAAGAAACCTTTGGGAGTTGCAGTTTGAGGCCGGCAGCAGAAGGGTAACTGTGCTGTACCTTTATATTAGTGTTCTACAGTCTTCCTTGTTGCGGGAATCCATAAGTCCTCACAAAAACTTGAACAGATTTTACTTACATTTCTGGGACTGCTACTGCTGGCAGATGAAGTATTCTGGCTGGGTGTTGCGGTGAGGTTCTGTGCGAAGCGCCCCGAAGTGAGCTAACTGGTGTTGCTCACTGGGGGAGCTGGCAGCGATGTCCAGGCGTTCGCCGCGTCACGGGGCCGAGCAGCGCCCGCGACATCGCTGTGCCCGCTCCCCCCGGGGCTTGCAGCGCCTGCCGCAGCGTCGGCTGACCTCTCCAGCCGCCTGCAGACACGCTGAGCTCTGCAGAAACATCCTCCGCGTCCCTGATTTTTCACAAGTGAGGATGCCCATGCGCTGGATAAAGTGAATCTTTCAGCTAGGACGTGATTCCTTACTCTGTGCTTTCTAACGGGGCGAGGGATGCTTTTATCGATCAGCCAGCAGGGAAACAAATCGTGGTTTGATGGCTTAGCCTATTGAAGGTTTCTAATCATTGTATTTCAAATAGATGTACTGTGTGTGTAACGAGTTTCAGCATTTGTCAGTCAGACTCATGAAGCTGTTGTGACAGGTACAGGTGAATGCTGTACAGGTTGGGACAGGTGAATATCGCTTTAAAGCAGATTTGTGTCAAATCTGCAGTAGAACCACAGATTTATTTTTGTAAGACTTCTCTTCACACTGTATAACTATAAAATTTTGTTTTATTGATAAAAATTATATACTCTTTATATTTCCTAATGCTGTGGTTTGTACACAAAATGACCTGAGTGATCCTTTATTTACATGTATATAGTAAAATAGGGACATGGTCTGGTTTTAATTCAGGTTAAAATGATATAATCTAATATTTTTAACTTTGTATTTTGTAAATTGTTACTTACAAAAGCAGAAGCATTAAACACCACTTTGCCTACAGTCTGGAATTGCCTGGGCTTGTTATTCCGGTAATAATAGAATTGCGCTCTGCAGACACCGAGGCGTGAAGGTAAATCAAAGCTGTTTGTCCTTTGTGTCGCAGCGGGTTTGGTGTGTGCGGTGCAGCCCGCGCAGCATTCCCCCTCCCGGGCCACCTGTATGAATGATATGCAGAATCAGTATTTTGAAACAAAGTAAATCCTCTGAAGTTTTGGTTTAATAGAGAGGGAAACGCCAATATTTTTTGACTGACCCTCTTTGTCTGTGTCTCCAGATCGGGTTTTTCCTCACCTGGTTGGGGCAGCTGAGGGTCAGACCCGAGTTCCTGTGGGTTTCGGTAGAAACGTGGGTGTCGGTACCTTCGTGACTCTAAGCTGTGATCTCCTTAGACTATTGCTTTAATTAGATGATCATTTTTCTTCGTAGCAGCGTGGGTTTTGGGCAGATCCCCTGCCTCTTGCCACTTGCAGTGCGGTGCTGCAGCTGATAACGCGGTCCCAAGCGCACGGCAAAGGGTTTCTTTCTGCAGGAACCCACCCTGGGACCTCGGCTCCAGCTGCCCCGCGGCTTCTCCCGGCATTGCTCCGTCGGGCATCTCCAGCTCGGCATGGCAGCCACAGGTTAGGAGCGTGGACCCTCCAACTGCTGCCCGGCGTGGGTGTCAGGGGCCTTGACCTGCTGCTGCCGCGCGCGGTGCCCATGTTCACCTCACCTCACCCGCAGCGCCCGTCCCCTCCAGCTCCCGAGGTGGCCAAGGCATCTGGGGACAGGGTGATGGTCCGCCCAAAGCCGTCCTGAGGAGCTGCCGGGGGCAGCGTGGCTCTTCCACCACATACAGGGCACATACTGCCCGTCAAAGCCCTTACCTTAACCTGCCATTTCTGCAAAACCCTTCAAAAAACCAAACCGAAACTTGTTTGGTAAACAAGTACGGCTTAATTTGCTCCCTTGCACTTTATTCCTTTCTGGAGAAAGCGGGTTTTAACTGTCTGCCTTGGAAGAGTCCAACCTTGGCCACGCGGGACAGTCCTGGAAAAGGAGCAGTTGTCCTCGGGAACGGCAATATTGAACCCATGGGAGGGAGGAGGAAGGAATAATTTTTTGCTTATGGGTTTTTTTTTTTTTTTTCTTCTTTTGCCATCTATTCTTGTATGCATTGAGGGTGAAGTAACGCTCTGTCAGAGATGAGGGTTTGGGCCGGTTGGCGTCGTACATACATTTTGTATAAAGGTAAGCAGCTGAAGCACGAGACGAGAATTAATCCTGGTTTGATGTCTGAAGCAGCAAGAAGCACAGGGGCGACTGTGAAAGGGGTAGGGAGGATAAATGTAATATTGATGAAAATAATAAATATATTATCTATGTTATGTAAAATTTTTGTACTAGGTTTAGTTGCTATAGACCACGGTACGAGCATCCGCTTAACTATTCATTTGATGATAACTGTGTGTCCACTTGCCATCTTGACAGCCAAAAAAAAGATGGAAACCCAAAATTTTGTGGTTAGCGTACGGGGTTTAAAGGCAGTCTGTGTATGGTTAGCGACAAAGACAAATTTATGCTTACACGATATATATGTTGAAAATAATACGTTAAAAATTAGTGGTGTTTATGTATAAATTAGTTGGGAAAACTGTATAAATATTAAAACCTCAGCAGCGGTCCTGAGGACGCCGTACGGTGGGTCCTGAGGACGCAGTGGCATAGCCTGTATGAGCGGGTTAATACTCACACAATAATGCTATTTTTGCCTTGATTACTGGCAGTAATTACGAAATGAAGAGTTACACCATGGCGTTTTGTCACACGTGAACCCTCCGTTCAGGACAACGGCACGTAAACACCGCGGATGTCCATATTGCTCAGAGACGCCCCGAGAGGTTCCGTTGGGGACAGTTATGTCACTGAAGTGACGGTCCCACGTCGAGGGGCATCGAGACCCATCCATTGCTCTGTCTGCCTGAGTTGTTCCCAACTCCGTCTCAAGTAAGCAAGAAAAACACTGGCCAGCTTGTTTTCTTTTTAAATACGCACTAAAAGAATTAAAAAAGAATCGCAGGGAGCTCAAACAGCCCTTCACTGATCTGCAGCTCACCCTCTGTCAAACAACACCTCCTCACCGCCTTCAACAAACCCATTTGCCGTTCCGGGGCCGTCTAGGTGCCGGGCTCCCACCCGTGACCGCCAGATGTGGACACATCGGGCATTGCTCCGTGCTGTAACGGCCCGACCCAAAAAAAGCTTTCAGAAACCTAAAGAACGACTGGTCGGGCGCTTGGCGGCCCCGTGGGACGTGGGCTCTGCCGACGCTAATGTGCGCGTGTTCAATAGGTGGTGGCTCTCGTTTAGCACTGGGTACATATCGTACGGGCTTCCGAAGTCCCTACGGTTTAATGCCGTTCGCTTTGCAGAATCCGGTGTGGCAATATTTGTGTACGATTATAGTGTTGTTACTGAAACAATATAGAAATCACCGCGTGATATTTGCTTGCAACACAGGGTGTCATTCATGAGTTATACATAAATGGCAGCTTTACATATTTAAAAGGAACATGGACTGCTTCATATCTGAAGTATGTTTCCCAGGAGATAACACCACCATTTGATCTATTTTTGATTAAAATGTAAAAATTAAAAATTAAATCAAATGGTAGTATAATTCCTTGGGGAAAACATACTTCAGTTATGAAGTATTCCCCATAGGAACCTTGAGAATCTTACAGCTGTATTGTCTCATCCGTAGGTGGTCTTTTTATGTCTCACATAATTAAAATGAATTGCTGTTAGAGAACCCATACTACTGCATACAGATTTATGAACCTTGAGGCACCTCCATTCGCAGACAAACAGCGGTATCAAACGCTAACCGTGCAGATGCACTGCGCCGAGGCAGGTACTGGTAATCGGGATGTTTACTGGGAGCCGTACTGGCCTCTGCCTCGAAAGGGTGAACGGGGAGCGCGCGGTGAACCACCTCGTGTTTCCAGTGAAGGATGGTGCCTAAAGAGCGAGCGTAGGTACGGTACGCGGTAGCTGAGATATTCCAGGACCATTTTCTATACTAAGGGACGGCTAATATGTCACCAGGAAAAGATTGTGAAATTGGATTTACCAGGAAAATGTGCTCTCCGGAATCTAATGCAACTTGTTTCTGGCAAGCTGCTTTATCAGTCTGACTCAGAATATGGGAATGTATATTTGATAAGATTAGAGAATAGTGGGGATCAGAAAAAAAATAAGACTATAGAATTTGCATTCACATTTTCACATATCTGAAGGACAAAAATGTCATTTATTTTTTTTGTTTAGTTTTGATTCTCTTGGTCCTGTTAATGCTATCCATAACAATGACTTGTGACTGCGCATTCTGTTCAGGCCGTAATTAAAACTTCCAAAACATACATTGCAGTAAAAAAAAAAAAAAAAAGGTGGCAGTGATGTAATGTTTAAGTAGAGAAAAGAATTCTAACAATGAACATATAAAGGCTGAGAGTTCCGTAGCGCCTGGTAGAAACATTTTGTAATAAGCAGCAGGAGTGTTCAAATTGCAATGTAACACTTAAAAGTAAATGTCTCTGATCTTTGAATGTCTTTATAGAGGGGAGTTTTTCATGTATAATCAGACTAAAATCCTCCTGTAATTGCACAGTGAGAGGCCTGTGAAGTTTCGGGGAGGCCGCAGATGGATACAGACCTACAGAAGAAGGGAGAAGACCTGTCCCCGCGCGCCCCTCCGGGCTGTCCCGGTGCCCGTTGGCCGCGGGCTCGCTCCCCGCCGGCGCTGTTGCCACCCAGTGATGGCCGGTAAAGGCGCCGGCCGGGCACGGCGGCCCCACGGGGAGCGCAATGGTGAGGGGATCCCCTCTCTCGGAACATTCGGACACGTTGTCCGTTCTTCCCCTGCCCAACTGTCCAAGCTCCGCAAGCCGCTCTGCGCTGGAGAGTCCGCCCGGCTCCCCCTCCCGGCTGAGCCCGGGCTATTAACCTTCACGTCTTAATTACATCAACGGCAGCACCCACACACAGCGACTGAAGCTTCGCCCCGCGTATAATCCCTCTCCTCTTGCGGTCTCGCACTTCACCCCTTCCTTCCACCGCTGCTGCTGCGGCCCTGAAGCAAATTGCCATCGCCCGCTGCGGTCCCCGGCCACCCCCCGCGTCCCCGGCACGTCCCCAGCATGTCCCCAGCATGTCCCCGGCACGTCCTCAGCCCCACCAGCACAGTGACACCCCTCTGAGCCGCCCGGGGCCCAGCACCAGTGAAGGGAGGGAGGAAGAACGCGCCTATGGAATCTGCGTATTTCCAAATTCAAACAGCAGCACTCAGAGCCCCTCTGCAGGATGGCAGCGGATAAAGATGCTGGGAGGGCTGGAGCCCCTCTGCTGGGGGGGCAGGCTGGGGGGGGGGGAGCCATAGGATGAGGGGGAATGGCTTTAAGGTGAAAGAGGGGAGATTTAGATGAGATATCAGGAAGAAATTGTTGCCTGTGTGGGCGGTGATCCCCTGGGGCAGGTTGCCCCGAGAAGCTGTGGCTGCCCCATCCCTGGAGGGGTTCAAGGCCAGGTTGGACGGGGCTTGGAGCAACCTGGGCTGGGGGGAGGTGACCCTGCCCAGGGCAGGGGGTGGCACTGGGTGGTCTTCAAGGTCCCTTCCAACCGAAAACGTTCTGTGATTCAGTGATTCTATAAAATCTAAGAAAATAAGGAAACCAATGGAAAGTTTGAGAGAGCGCTAAAGCAGAGGAATTAAAGCTGCAGGACTGGCTTTCATTTCCATGTCTATGAAGGACAAAATGCCAGTGACACCCTCTCAGCTGGAACTGTTAAAAAAAGATCACCCAAAATATTTAAGACCTCGATTCTGCAAGTGACGTCCCAAGCCTGAGATTTGGATCCACCAAGTTGTTGGTTAAGCACACACTGTTATAGAATCATAGAATCACAGAATGGTTTAGGTTGGAAAGGACCTTGAAGATCATCGAGTTCCAACCCCCTGCCCTGGGCAGGGACACCTCCCACCAGCCCAGGTTGCCCAAGGCCACCTCCAGCCTGGCCTTGAACACCTCCAGGGATGGGGCCTCAACAACCTCTCTGGGCAACCTGTGCCAGTGCCTCTCCACCCTCACAGGGAAAAACTCCTTCCTAATGTTTAATCTGTTATGGATTAGGCCATAATTAATACGGAGATGACAACACCATCTCTCCTGTTCTCACTCACGTCCCAGGCCAGGCTTGTCCGTGCCCGGGGAAAAACAAGACACGAGTTTAGTGGAGTGTGGGGATCCCGCTCTGTTTCACGGCAGCCTCAGTGCAACGCAGGGCACAGCTCAACCCCCACCGCGCCTCCGCCTTCATCCCCACCACCCTCATCCTCCCCTGTGAGAAGCGGAGCCAGGAACCCACCGCGATCCTCAGCGCTCGTCATGGCCGGGCTGCCCCCAGCACCCCACCAGATGCTGCCTTCTTCAGGGCTTCCACAAAGGTGGGTTTTGTCAATGTCATAAGAAGCCTTTAAAGAACAGAACGTTACCAGAACTCAGCAGCTCTGCCTGGACAGTGCCCAGGAAGCGCAAGATGCTCCGAGTCCATCGTTCAGAAGCTCGCAAAGGCGAGAGTCAGTGAAGCTTTTAAAATGTTGACTTCTGAGCAAAAGCCAAGAAGGAAAGGAATTCAGAAGAGTGATTTTAAAAAGAGCTTGTAAGAAACGGGAAGCAGCTATTTTGAGTTATTTGGTAAAGAGATGCTATTTCATCGAAGATTAGATAATTTAGAATAGTTAGTAAATAACATTCTGAATTTTCTGTCCATTACAACCACTTGACAGTTCTGCTGACGGTCGGGTTGA